GCAGTAACGTTTGCCTCTACTCAGTTGCCAGAATACGTATATCTAGACCATTGGAGACACGAGGTCAGTCCATACGTTCCACCTGTTAAGCAGTGCCTACGTTGCATGCGTTTCGGTCACATTGCTAAGTTTTGTCGCAATAATGAAGTCTGTTCAATTTGTTCGACAAATCATAATTATAAATCTTGTACTGTTGATATAGAAAATGCAAAGTGCACTAACTGTGGAGGTAATCACGTAGCCATCTCATCCTCTTGTCCAATTAAAAAGCAACAGATCGAAGACAACAAAATTAAAAGTAGAGCTGTGCAGTATTCAGAACTGTTTAATGAAAAATCATTTCCCAAACTTGCCGAAAAATCTATAGAAACACATTTAAATAATTTATCAAAATCAGACTTATTTATGAATTTATTAGTAGAAACAATAATGAATATAGTATCTAATAAGAATGTACCTATAAATAGTAATACTATAAAAGAAAATTTACATAATACATTCAGAAAAATACCTTCCAAAAATAAAAATGGCTAACTTAAATATTGTACAATGGAATGCTCAGAGTTTAGTAAGCAGTAGGCTCATATTTACAAATTTTCTTTATGAACACAACATTCATTTAGCATTAATATCAGAAACTTGGCTAAGACCGAATCAACAATTCAAAATAAAAGGTTACAACATAGAAAGAAATGATTCTGATAATATACATAATGGAGTTGCAATATTAATTCGCAATAACATTGTTTATACTAAAATCAATACAAATTTTGATAATACTTTGCAAAATATTTGTATTCGTATTACAATAAGAAATAAAGATATATCAATTGTTAGCTTTTACAGTCCTCCAAATACTAATCCTGCCTTTAGTAAAAGCAAATTAGATTCTCTTATAAAATCTATCCCTGGTCCGATGATTTTTGCAGGTGATTTTAATGGTCATCACTCTTCTTGGGGCTGTAATTCCACAAATCCTCGTGGTCGAGATATTCTGGATATCATTGATGAAAATAACTTGATTCTTCTTAATGATGGGCAACCAACCACAGTTGGCTCTTTAACTTGGCGGCCCAATGCTCTAGATTTGACCATAGTTAGTCCTTCTTTGGCTTTATCTTGTGAATGGTCTGTTCATGATGATCCTCTCGGCAGTTATCATCTACCTGTAAAAACAAATATTAGTCTCAATGTCAACAACCAACAAGATTGTAATAACAATAATGTCATGGATGATAAGGTCACTTTTCCAATATTCAAAAATTTTAAACTGGTTGATTGGAAAATGTATCAATGTAAAGTTGAAAGTCTTTTATCTGAGTTTTGTGTTCAATCATACACCCCATTGGAGGCTTATACACTATTTTGTGAAATTCTTTATTCAGCCACAGAGTCTTTAACCCCTACCAAATTAAAATCCAACTCTACCAACAGAAAAACTGGCAAAAGACTCTCATTACCTTGGTGGAATAATAATTGTTCAGTTGCTGTGAGTAATTCTAAACAAGCATATATTACATTTAAAAATAATCCATCAGAAACAACCTATTTGGAATTTAAAAGGTTGCAAGCTTTAAAAAAACTCACCCTTAAAACTGAAAGATCAAAAAGCTGGGCTGATTTGTGTAGTTCATTCAATCGTTGTACCCCTCTTACTGTAATCTGGAAATATATGCGTAAATTCAATAAATCTTTTATTTTAAGTCATCCAGACTGTGACAGCTGGGTTTTACCTTTTCTTAAGAAATATACTCCTGATTATGTACCTACTCATCAGGACTGTTCCTACAATAGATCTCAATCAAATTCCACCAACCTCTTTTTAATAAAACCATTTACAATAACAGAATTGAAAAACGCAGTCTCCTCCAGAAGAGAAAGTGCATTTGGATTGGATGGTATCCCTTATAAAATGTTGAAAACTCTTAGTGATTCTAGTTTGCAGATATTTTTGAAGGTTTTAAATCATCTTTGGGAAAACAATGACATACCACCTTGTTGGAAAATAGATTGCTTGGTTCCTATTTTAAAGCCTAATAAGCCTAAATTGGATAAAGATTCTTATCGCCCTATTGCACTAACTTCATGTGTAGGAAAAATTTTTGAACAACTACTAAAGCAAAGATTGGAGTTCTATGTGGAAAAAAATGGCATTTTACCTTCGAATCAGTTTGGATTTAGAAGAGGTCGCTCATCTCGTGAAAGTATCTGCCAATTACAACTTGACATCCAAAATTGTCTAGTAAAAAATCAAACTATGGTGTCTGTATTCTTTGATGTTGCGGGAGCTTTTAACAGTGTCAATGTTGATGTGCTTTCTAATGAGTTAACTTCAGTGGGTATACCACCAAAACTTGTTCATTGGGTCCAAAAGTTCTTGTCTGAAAGAAAAGTTTTTGTTAAGAATAATGGTTACCTATATGGCCCACGGTTGGCTTCTGTTGGTGTCTGTCAGGGAGGAATTTTATCTCCTCTTGTTTTTATATTATATATCCGACGTCTCAACTTAATTCTGGGTGGACATGTCAAAAATTTGCAGTTTGCTGATGACTTGGTAGTATATGCTTCCGATCATAAAATTACAAATTTAGTAAATAAAATTAATAGTGCCTTATTTAATCTTAATCAATATTTTACATACTTAAATCTTGATATTAACCCATTAAAATCAAAACTGCTTGTATTTGGGAAAAATAGATCTTTGATGCCTACTGTTTACTATAACAATGTTGCTATTCCAGTTTCATTAGACACAAAGTTTTTGGGTGTTTTAATAACTCACAACTTATCTTGGAAAAAATATATTGAACACATAACAACTAGGGCTAACAAAGCTTTAAACATATTAAAATCTTTAGTTTCTACATATTGGGGAGCTGATCCTAAGATCTTGTTGTTACTGTATAAGTCTTTGATTCGCAGCCATTTTGAGTATGCTTTTTTTTGTTTTGCTCATGACAACAAAATTGTAGATATCCTAGACAAAATTCAAAATAAAAGTATGCGTTTAATAACTGGTGCTTTCAAAAGCACTCCCATTAATGTTATGCAAATTGAGTGTAATCTTTCTCCCATTTCAATAAGATTTAGTTACTTAAAGGAAAGATTCCTTTTGAAGCTATTCTCAATAAACAATAATCAACTTTTAAAAAATATTTCATATTTATCACAATCACTGGCAGGTAGGCCTTTGTATATCATGCAAGGATTTCCTCAGTTCACTCAGTTTCTCGAAAATTCCAACATTTATAAGCCTTCAATCTTACCATGCTATGAAGGGCATTTTGAGAGCAAATTTCCATCAATTGACATAAATATCTACAAGGAGCTTTCTACTAAAGAGGAGGTGTTTGGTGAACTATCAAATTGGGTTGATCATAAACATATTTATACAGATGGCTCAAAAAATGATTCAAGTGCATCTTTTTCTTTTTACGTTAGCTCTATAAAATCTGGTTTAGGTTACAAGATAGACAAAAATTCCTCTGTATTCACTGCAGAAGCTCTAGCAATTTTGGCTGCTCTGAAACACATAAAACACCAAAATCAAGGACATAAAAAATGGCTAATACTTAGTGATAGCATGAGTGTGCTCAAAAACTTAGAAAACAATAAATTAAGTGCAAACACCAATTACATTATTCATGCTATTAAAGAAGTCTGGTATGATCTATACAATGTTGATAATATAATTGTAAGTTTCATGTGGGTTCCGTCTCACATTGGTGTAACAGGTAATGAAAATGCAGATTATCTAGCAAAATCTATCAATACTCTAGCTACTGAAACCAATACTCAGAAGATGTCTATACCTTATACAGATTTGATTGTTCTGCTAAAGGAAAGAATGCACCAAGAGTGGCGAGCCCATTGGAATTGTATAGTACAGGTTAAAGGTAAAGGTCTATGGTACACACCTCTTTATGTTGATGTAAACAAATTGCCATGGTTCTGCAAATCAAATAGCTTTTTGAATAGAAAATTCTATACGACGATTTTTCGCTTAAGGTTTGGTCATTGTCGGCTTAATTTCCATCTCTTTCGGTTGCAAATGGTGAATAATGCTCAATGTACTCATTGCAATTCCCAAGAAGAAACCCTAGCTCACATTTTCTTTGACTGCCCATCCTTCGGCATTCAGCGCCTTGTGTTGTTGGATGAGCTAATCCAAATTTATGGCAAACATGATTTGGTCCCGCGTTCCTTGACCGATCTTCTTGTAAATAATTGTACATACGTTCCTCTGTTTAATTTCATTGCAAACACTGTTGAAGAAATATAAATATTCTGTAATATCGTTGTGTATTAGATTTTAAGGTTAAATGTTCTGCATACACAAAACGCTCAGTTAAGTTTAATAGGTACCGCATGTTCTCTTTCCTTTTATTTGTTTGAAAAAAATGTTTATTTTCGTAATTTTGCTTGTAGGTATTCTTTTTCGTTTAGGTCGTCGGTTTGAAACAAGTTTGAAACGTATCAAATGTCGTTGTTTTAAGTTTGTTTTTTCTTTTCTTAAGTTTTGTATTAGGATTAAGGTATTGCATGGTATTGGTCTATGATTTATTTTTTGTGTAAATGTGTACTATAAAAAAGATATTAAATAAATATGAAATTCATATAGGATGTAATTAATTCATGATTGGACTGTCTAGTAAGAGAAAAAATTAAATGTTTGGTGTTTAAGATGTTCAATGTGCTCGGAAAAAAGCACATAATAATAGAGTAAAACAAAAAACTAGAAAATATACCGGAAATTATCAAACTGAGGAAGTTATATTGAATTTTAATAATAAAAAGAAGAAAAATAACTAATGACGAGGCAGTATGGTCCCAGACCTTAGCCTGTCCGAAAGGACAAACGAAAAAAAAAAAAAAAAAAATCAGTGACTTCCCTACATATTTTTATATACGTTGTATTCAGAATATTACATTAAACTTTATCATTAAAGTAAATTAATCAGTGGATAATTCGTCTAATGAACGTTAACCATTTAAATTAGATGGCGTTTCCACAGCCTAACGCTCAAAGAGGTTAGAGCCCGATGCTATCGTATCTTTTCACAGTAAAATGTCAACACTGATACCTCAATTTATTCCACAGAACTTACGAACAGAAAAATATTAGAAGAACTTCAATTGAAGAAACAGATGCTTTTGAAGCAAGGCGCCGTTGCACCGCTTACTGCTACATCCATAGCACTTACACAGCCAAATCCTGTCAGTCAACTTCCCATGTGTTCTATTCCTCCTGTCTCAGCGACTGCTGTAAGTGCTTATTATTCATAGTAATTTTCTTGTATTGTGTGTTGAGAAGCAAAATTATTACCAGCATTAGACTGAAACATATACTTATTAAAGAAAATACTCTTGTCATGTATGTATTTGCCTTTTTAAACATTTCCAGGGATTCCCACAACTGCCGGAAGCAAATATAGTTAATACAAGTCATCGTGCAGCATTACAACACGCCAATGCTACATCCTGTGGCTTTTTCGTATCTCAAGACTCTTCTTTTGGTAACCAGATATTACCAGTACTTCCACGGTTTGATAACAAGTAACTAAGAAGATATGGCAGCTGTTATGAAACTTAAGACTTTACAAGGGCATCTGCAGGATCTTAATGGCTTCGAGAAGCCGAAGATACACTTTGAGCAGTATGAAACACCTGCCCACATTGCTGCTATCATGTTGTACAATATTCAGGTATATTTTACCTAATTGAACAGACATATTTTGTAGTCATTGTTTTTTTTTTGAAAAAGTTAAGATAATTAATCATTTGAGTATTAGTAAAAGTTTTCTAAAGATATGATTTTTCAGACACAATATGAAGGATTGGAAGATAAACTAGTATTAGATGCAGGTTGTGGACCAGGTTCTCTGAGTATTGGAGCTGCACTCCTGGGAGCAGGAATGGTAATGAGTATGGACATTGATGGGGATGCTTTAAAAATATTCAACAATAATTTGGAGGACATGGAAGTCACCAATGTTGATGCTATACAATGTGATTTCTTAAATACTTCAGTTTTCCGGTAATATATTTTCTAGAATCTACAATAAAGAAAATGTATACAATCTGTATATAATGTAAACGGAACAAATATCTTTTGTTATTATACTAAACTCAAGTTGTTATTGTTGCAGTTGGGAAAACTATTTTGACACAGTTCTTATGAATCCACCATTTGGAACTAAAAATAATTCTGGTATTGACATGAAGTTCCTACAAATGGGCTTGGCTTTGAGTTGTGATAGTGTTTATTCATTGCATAAAACAACAACAAGGTAAAGTCATAAAATTGATTTTGACATTCTACAAAATTACTAAGTGAAATTTGTAGTATTTATGTCTTATGCAATTTAATAGGTCACACATACAAAAGAAACTAAAAGAATGGGGTGCCAAGGGAAGTGTGATTGCAGAGCTGCAATATGATTTACCAGCCACATACAAGTTTCACAAACAACAGTCACGTGACATTGCAGTTGATCTGTGGAAAGTTCAGCATCCTGACTCATGATAGTAAATACTATTCAATGTGATATGAAATGTAAAATAATGTAGATGAAACTTTTATAGTTTTAGGATTTCATTAGGTATTATACTATTGCAAATAATTGTGAATATGTTAATAGCAACATGATATCCTATACCAAGCATCAAATTAAAAGGATGAAATCTATGTACATTTACTACTTAGTATAAATATTGAAATGACACTAAGAAATCACTACTTTACAATCTAAGGTAAATCTTGCAAATAAAACTTTTTTAACTTGTCATAGCAATTTATTAATCACAATCAGTCTTCTGTTACTTTATAGTGTATATATGTATATATATTTACATTAAACTAACTTACAGACCAAGCTACACATGTGTTCGAATTTCTTAACTAAGAAATGCTTTTAATATACAATTTATCATTTCTAAAGTAAATTTTGAAATCAGGCAAGTATCTAATATTATGTTATTTATCTTGATTACATTAATAAATTTATCAGGGATGACAAGTAAAGAATACTTTTTACCCCTGATAAATTAAAAATAAACTAAAAATATGGCTGATTAAGTTCTTCACATGGCTATTGTTATTTGCTATTTTTATTTGTGTCTGATCAGTCTTTTTAATTTGAATCATTTGTTTCTTACATCTTGAGGTAGGGGTGGTAAATCTGAACAGATGGGTAATTTTGCTCAGATTAGTATAATGTAAATTTGTTTGCTCTGAGTATTTTGACTGACGAGAAACATTAATCTGGTTATCTGTCATGTTGTGATATTACTTGCTGTTTGAGGTTAGAAGTTAATCTACGGTTCGTCAGGCAGTTTGTTAATAGCAATTTACTTAGATCAATCTGTGATCACATGACCAAAAATACTTCGCCTCTGCGATGCAAATACTGAACGTAGCTATAAAATGATAAGGACAACCTGTTTCAATATGACTAATGGCAAATACGAATAGTCATGTGAAGAGTGGGCATAACAAACATACACAAATTTAGAATCATTTACTAGGGGCGTATCTTACAAAGTAATAAAAATGGGTTTGAATAACAGTAGAGATCATCTAATCTAAAACTAAACGCCCCTCCATTGCCTTACTCTTACATGCACAATTAATGTACAGATGCAACACACTCAAATTAGCTATAGTCATTGGTCATTCAGTAGATTCAGTCGCCGGCTAGACACGAATGTGGCAGCACGCTTCGATTACTTACAAGAGTGAGGAGGAGCGTTCAGTTTTAGATAAGATGATCTCTAGTTACATGACGTTGGTAGACCTATGGTAGTCTTTAACCACACAATAACAGTTGCAGCGTCATTGTTTATCAATAAGTATATTTCATCGTTACTCGTCCTCGCGTTTGATGTTCTGCGCCAGTTTGATAGCGCCCGAGTAGTTGATGGCGACTATGGAGCAGCGCAATGTATCTTAACCATAATACTTATATGAACAGTCGCAGCGTTATTTATTATCAGTAAAAGCTAGCGTACAAGCTACGGTCGAGTTTTTCATACATTTTGTATAGTATATAAACTAATCGTTCGAGTGTCCGCCTCTAGCGGCGTTTAGTAGCCCAATGTGCGCTTGCCCGAGCCACTAGTGGTCGCGATAAGAGGCTTAAGGCTTTGTCAAACAGAACGCGTACTTAGCGCTGCGTAGTAGCGTTATAGCGTAGCTTTTTAACGTCACGTTCTTTTCATGTCACACAAATTGTCTAGATTAGCCCAACGCTCCTAGACGTAACGTACCATTCGCCAAAGCGTAGTGAAGATCGATAGATGAGAAAAGTTTGTTTGTTATGGAGATGTCGAGTGATTCAGATGTGGAAAAAATATTACTTTTATATGCTTTATCACGGTCACAGAGAAAAAGAGTATGGGTGCATGACTTGATTGATATATTTTATACAAACAATTCTTCGTATTATATAAGCATGGGTATTTTCTAATTAATTCTATTTATTTTAACAAGTATTTACTCGGACGCTAATATTAAATTTGTAAAAAATACAACGCCCGGCGTTAAAGCCTCATAACGCCGCGACAGAGCGTCGCGTACTGCAAACGCTGGCAGTCTGTTTGACGGTTTTTACCATGGTAGTACATCACATCTTAGCGTCATAGTGCGGCGTCAAGTTAGCGCACTAACGCGCGCCAAGTAGGCGTTCTGCTTGACAAAGTCTTTAATATGCATTTGTTCTCAGTATTACATCGTTACTCGTCCCCGAATTTGATGTTCTGCGCCAGTTTGATAGCGCCCGAGTAGTTGATGGTGACAGTAGAGCGACGCATGTAGCTCTTCCAGGAGTCGGAGCCGCACTCGCGGCCGCCGCCCGTCGCCTTCTCGCCGCCGAACGCGCCGCCTACCTCCGCGCCGTTCGTGGGAATGTTCACATTCACTATGCCGCAGTCGGAGCCGTGCGGTCCGATCCACTGAGGATAATACACGAAGCATATTATTAGGCTTAGATTAAAACAAAAAGGGAAGATATGGCGCTCGCGGCTCAAAAGTGAACCGCTTTAATTGTGGTGCATGACCACAATTCGCTTTAGTCACAATCGGACATTCTAATACGCTACACGTGCACTCAATATAACAATATTGCGTATATTCTGTGTTATAAAGATAAAACAATGCCTTCGATGCTTTTATAAAGAACACAAATAGTTCAAAATGAAATACCAAATGCCTCGGCAATATTTTGCATTCTTAAAGCTGTAAAAAACATTTTTTTCTCAAAAATCACGGTTTGTCATGAATGTTATTTACGTAATCGCCTTTTTTATTATCAATAAAAAGGACAACAATACAGCTCAGCCGTAAGGACTCGCTGTTTCGATCGCACTGCGTGGAAGCGTACAGTTCTGTCTCGCTTTGAATGTTTATAAACAGATTCGTGCTTGTGTGAGAGTTGCTTATGTTCTTTTAAATCTCACAGCGGTTTCCACCTGCGCTGGCCGACAGACCGCTTCACTTCAACTTGCGTAGAATGTGAAATCGTACGTAATGCCTAATATTATATTTCAAAGGCCCAAGCACGATGAAAGCTAGGCTTTTCTTCAAATTTTGTATGGATGGAGCCACTTGCTACCTAGTCTCGTTTCAGTCTTTTCATACATTTTTATTAAGTTTTCTGATAAGACGAATAAAAGACAGAAAATCTAAGAGCCCCTACAAATCTTTCCGATAGATGGCGCTGCAGTCGGGTTTTAGGAATTTATTTTATATACTTTATCGGGCTAGGCTAGACAACGCCTGTCGGTAGGCCTTCCTGGGTATCGTGAGGTAAGCCCGTCACTATATTTTCCTTACCTTGAATACGTCACCCATGTTCTCCGTGCACAAACTGGAAGAGAGTCCCAGGTCGACCTCGTTGTTGTACTTAATTCGAAGTCCGGCACCGGGATGCAGTACACTATGGGAGCGAAACACTCAGACTGGACCAGCGGCGAGTCGTGAGGTAAAATATTCCTTGCCTTGAATACGTCGCCCATGTTCTCCGTGAACAAACTTGAGGAGAGTCCCTGGTCGACCTCGTTGTTGTTCTTGATGTCGGTATCGAGGTTCGGCACCAGGACAGCACACTATGGCAGCGAAACACTCGAACTGCACCAGCGGTGAATCGTGCGTGAGGTAAAATTTTCCTTACCTTGAATACGTCACCCATGTTCTCCGTGAACAAACTGGAGGAGAGTCCCTGGTCGACCTCGTTGTTATACTTGAGGCTGGTATTCAGATCAGGCACCGGGAGGGATGCAGTACACTATGGGGGCGAAACACTCTGACTGCACCAGTGGTGAGTCGTGAGGTAAAATTTTCCTTACCTTGAATACGTCATCCATGTTCTCCGTGCACAAACTGGAGGAGAGTCTCTGGTCGACCTCGTTGTTGTATTTGATGCTGGTGTTCAGTACCCCTAGCACGAATAATTATCGAATTCGAATAGTTTGCAAACCAAAATGTCAATGTCAAATTTTGTATGGAAACTTGAACAGCAGCGGCACAAAGTCCGTAGCGAGAACTAAAAATCAATACACATTTGACAATGACATTTCGGACTCGTAAACGATACGAATTCGATATTGGTTCGTGCTAAGGATACTGATCCGGCACCGGGAGGGATGCAGTACACTATGGGAGCGAAACACTCGGACTGCCCCAGCGGTGAGTCGTGAGGTAAAATTTTCTTTGCCTTGAATACGTCACCCATGTTCTCCGTGAACAAACTTGAGGAGAGTCCCTGTTCGACCTCGCTGTTGTACTTGATGCTTGTGTCGAAGTCCGACACCGGGATGCAGTACGCTATGGGAGCAAAACACTCGGACTGCACCAGCGGTGAGTCGTGAGGTAAAATATTCCTTACCTTGAATACATCACCCGTGTTCTCCGTCAACAAACTGGAGGAGAGTCCCTGGTCGACCTCGTTGTTGTACTTAATGCTTGTGTCGAAGTCCGGCACCGGGATGCAGTACACTATGGGAGCAAAACACTCGGACTGCACCAGCGGTGAGTCGTGAGGTAAAATATTCCTTACCTTGAATACGTCACCCATGTTCTCCGTCAACAAACTGGAGGAGAGTCCCTGGTCGACCTCGTTGTTGTACTTGATGCCGGTGTCGAGGTCCGGCACCAGGACAGCACACTATGGGAGCGAAACACTCGGACTGCACCAGCGGTGAGTCGTGAGGTAAAATATTCCTTACTTTGAATACCTCACCCATGTTCTTCGTGAACAAACTGGAGGAGAGTCCCTGGTCGACCTCGTAGTTGCACTTGATGCCGGTGTCGAGGTCCGGCACGGGGATGCAGTATACTATGGGGGCGAAACACTCAGACTGCACCAGCGGTGAGTCGTGAGGTAAAATATTCCTTACCTTGAATACATCACCCGTGTTCTCCGTCAACAAACTGGAGGAGAGTCCCTGGTCGACCTCGTTGTTGTACTTAATGCTTGTGTCGAAGTCCTGCACCGGGATGCAGTACACTATGGGAGCAAAACACTCGGACTGCACCAGCGGTGAGTCGTGAGGTAAAATATTCCTTACCTTGAATACGTCACCCATGTTCTCCGTCAACAAACTGGAGGAGAGTCTCTGGTCGACCTCGTTGTTGTACTTGATGCCGGTGTCGAGGTCCGGCACCAGGACAGCACACTATGGGAGCGAAACACTCGGACTGCACCAGCGGTGAGTCGTGAGGTAAAATATTCCTTACTTTCTGAATACCTCACCCATGTTCTTCGTGAACAAACTGGAGGAGAGTCCCTGGTCGACCTCGTAGTTGTACTTGATGCCGGTGTCGAGGTCCGGCACGGGGATGCAGTATACTATGGGGGCGAAACACTCAGACTGCACCAGCGGTGAGTCGTGAGGTAAAATATTCCTTACCTTGAATACGTCACCCATGTTCTCCGTGAACAAACTGGAGGAGAGTCCCTGGTCGACCTCGTTGTTGTACTTAATGCCAGTGTCGAGGTCCGGCACCGGGATGCAGTACACTATGGGGGCGAAACACTCGGACTGCACCAGCGGTGAGTCGTGAGGTAGGCCAGTCACGATGGTCGGCTCCACGAAGTAACCCTCGCGTTCCATCACCTACATTCGAGGGAGTTACTATTAAACCTTTTATGTTATTAATACCTTGTTTCTTGCGAGTGCCCAATATTTCTGCTCTGTTGCAAGCTATATGATCACGGGCGCTTGCAGCAGTGCCTCAGTGCAGTGAAAACCAGTTATAGGCCACATGGTAGCAAAAACTTGGTTTATCAAACAGCTTATCGTTTAAGAATATACATAAGTTACTTTCGTTTCGCGGTTAGTGGTAGGCTAGGCAGGCAAGTACCTACTTTATCACCAGCTCGAATCGTGAACAAAGTCAAGATTTTGGTTAAGTTTTTCTGACGCAGAAAATTAATCTTTTGTATGTTTATCTATCTTAGGTATCTACGGTGTCGGTTACGATAAGTTGTTAATTTTATTATTTCGTATTTTTAATCGCTTTTATTGAATGACGGTTTCTGTTTTAATAGTTTTTCTTTTGTGTTTAATAAACCCAAATATTTAATCACATTGATTGAACTATAATTATAAGTAGAAGTAGCTGCAAACTTTTTGAGAAAAACCAGAGACAAATAAACTTGTGCAGCAGACGTTTTTGTATGCAAAAATACTACCGCGCAGGCTTCCTTATCTATGGTCTATGAATGTATACCTTTCCTCCGAACTCGATAGTTCCGCCTTGCTTGACCACATCAGCGACAGTCCTTTTGTACGCGTCCACAGCAGCGGGCGTGTGCAGCGGCCCGATGAGAGTCTCCGACGCCAGCGGGTCACCGATCCTGCTTACTACGCCCGCGAAAGCTTTCTTCAGCCGGGACACCACGTCCTTGTATACCTGATCGCAGGGATGCCAGCCTTGATGAGTAATTGTTTTAAGAATAAATTTTACATTATATGACAGTGCAATAAATGCATTCACATCATATTGACGAATTTTAATAAAAAAATGTGTGCGTGTACTAGTGTACACACGTAAGAAGTGAAACTTCTTTATGGCCTTATTTTTCGAAAAATGATCTACATGCAACTTTCCAGAAATTGGTTAAATCAAGTTAAATTAGATAAAGTTTAAACAAAAGGATTTTATTATCATAGACATGAATACAAATTACTGCCTATGAAACTGTTATGATTACACGGCTCAGTAATCTAAGGCACATGTTCCACCTCCGACGATGAACGATAAGCGAGTAGAAACTAGAAACGAATTGGCAGTCCTGAGTTAAAATGCACGCGCACGGCTTTTGACAGCCAAGCCAGCTTAACCGAGCGAGTATCGCTGAGCTAGTATCGCTGAGCGAGTATCGCTGAGCGAGAATCGCTGAGCGAGTATCGCTGAGCGAGAATCGCTGAGCGAGTATCGCTGAGCGAGAATCGCTGAGCGAGTATCGCTGGGCGAGTATCGCTGGGCGAGAATCGCTGAGCGAGTATCGCTATGCGAGTTTGGCTGAGCGAGTCTTATCTTTAATAACTATTGTCACTCAGCTACAAACGAGTAGAGAGAGTTCTCGCCGGCGACAGTGTGATCATTCAGCTATCAACTATTAATATAAAAAAAGATGGCGCGTAACGGAAAAATGTGACGCGTAACCGAAAAATGTGACGGTAATTTTTTTTCCAACGCCGATAAAGAAGTTTCACTTCAATAATTATTTCCTGACAATCGTCTCGACCCGTTTGGTCCGTCCATATCCATAGATCGCTGGTTGAAATCCGGCTCGAAGGAACAAACTGTAGGGGCTGTTACTAGGACCCTAGCGATTGTCAGTATGCCAATTAGTCACGGGATAATTATTAAAATACGTCAATACGATGTGAATGCCTTTCTGCAATAAAGGTAATATAATGTCATATAATGTAAAATTTATTCTTAAAATGATTAGTTGGTCAACTGTGTCAGCAGTTTAGAGTGCATCGACTCGGAATGCAAACTTAACTCAGTCGTCGCTCCAATCCCAAGTTGTACGTGGAATGAGGCGTGGCCAAAAGGCACCATATGGTGTTGCAATAAGAAACGCTTTTCAGTGAATAATAAACGAATGAAATCAACAATTGTACACAAACGCGATAATCTTGTAGCAATAGCAATAGTGTTCACCATATTCAACAAAAAAAAGTATTCTACCCCATCCGGGATAAAGTATGACACGACATAAAGACAGCCATGTCATAAAAATCCACGCGGTCTATTCAGGAGACGGGACTCGAACCTCTTCGCTATCCAGGAGAATGCACTAATCAATTATGCTACCGCGACATTAATGACGTGTCAATTTTTTTCTAGTATTTCTTAAGCTGCAAAGCGATATGCGATCGTCTCGTGTGACTTTCTCCTAGATCTGGCTCTTTTTCTGTGACAATACTATAACTAAATGATGAGTCTCTTTGACGCCAGCGGGTCACCGATCCTGCTCATCACGCCCGCGAAAGCTTTTTACTCCACTTCCTTAAAAACCTGATACACAGGGATACGAAACTGTATGAGTTTATTCTACCCTATTGAGACTCGGCGTGAAAATTACGACACGACATATCGACAGTCATATCATTTCACATACGCGGTCGTCTCGTATGACAATTTCTCCGAGGTTTGGCTCTTATTCTGTGAAAATACTATAACACTTGCCAGGTCTCCCGATTTTACAGATCTCCTGGTTTCCTTATAATACGATTAACAATTTTAAATTGCATGGTGAGTTGCATTTTCTGCCATTAACAATGTACGTAACCTTAATTATTTAAAAAACGAATGAATTGTCTAAACAAACGAGCTTTGATGAGGGGCGGCAGAAGCCACAGAAACACATTCGTTACTGCCCTATATCTAATTCTAGGGGGGCGGGCTCTGTTTTTTCTTGTAGCTCTTTCCATACATCGACTGCTTTTTTCGATATAGCGCCACCCGATTTTTAAAAATCACACCTGGCAACACTGCTATAACATGACTTATATAAATGAAAACTCTCTTTGACGTCAGCGGGTCACCGACCCTAGACAGGTCGCCTATGACAGTCACCTTGTTGTGTACCAGCAGCCTCCGGGTGGTGGTGCAGCGCTGGCCTGCGGTTCCGGCGCAGGCGAAGAGTGCAGCGTTGAGGAGCAGCTCGAGATTAGCGTCCGCGTTCACTACGATGGCGTTGTTGCCGCCCAACTCCAGCAGGTGGCGTCCGAATCGACGCTGCACCTCCACGCCCACCTTTACACGGAACATAATATTATAACTAGCGGCCGCGCGCGATTTCGTGCGCGTGGAGTTAGTTAGAAATAAAGGTTCACTGCTCGTTCCCCGTAGGCGTTAGCGTGATAATATGTAGCCTATAAGTTGACCCGACTTCTTAATAATATTCGTACCAAATTTGGAGTAAATCCATGCACATGCAGTATTTTCTGAGTTTATCCCGGACATACAAACAGACAAAAAATCTAAAAACTTTATTTTTGGCTTCGGTATCGATTGTAGAACACACCCCAAGTAATCTTTTAAAAAATATTCAATGTACAGTTTTGACTTTCCTACGATTTTATTACATGTATAGATAATAAACGTTTATTGACTTGATGCAAGTTACAATATACAATATATTTTAACAGATGTCACAAAATTAGTGACAATAGGCACTTTGCAGCAAAATTGTTGTAAAAGGTGACTACTGTTGCCTGTGGTATCATGGGACTACTGTTACCCGTGGTATGATGGGACTTTGTTGCCTGTATTACAGGTGGATAACCTGTAATACAGGCAACAAAGTCCCATCTCCATCTATGTGCATCAATTTAAGTGTGCACACATTGGTTGTATAATTTTGCAATAGAACATAAAATTAAAATGTTATTCAACTTCACCTGTTGACCAACAGCAGTGCTGCCAGTGAAAGAGACCAGTTTCACTCGGTTGTCTTTGGCTATGTGTTGGCCGATGTCCTTGCCGCCGACGCAAAGCGATGCGATCCCGCCGGGAAGGTTGTTCTTCTTCAGTACGCCCTCCACGATCTTGGTAACAGCTACGGCTGTCAGTGGAGTGGTGTCTGAAGGTTTCCATACACTGACGTCTCCACATACCTGTAGGTGAGTTACGTGATAGAAAAATCAAAGAACTTCGGATTTACTTGTTGTAGGTCTTTGTTTCCGTACGAAGTCTTTGATTCGTTGTGCTTCAGTGCAGTGATGGTTGGTCTAGCACTAACAGTCTAAAGGTCACAATAATATACCCATATAACTCATATACCCATCAGCACTACGTAAACCCGGCACCCGACCAGCCCCGCCGCATCTCGTGAGTTGATATTCCTTGTATGGATTTCTGTAAGTATTCGCTCACTACATCGATCTCATACCGTCACCGGCTTGCCTCGTTTAATTCACTACGCCTTAATTCTTGCTAGAAGCGCAGAAATCCTAGAGGCTAACGCTAACTAGATTTATTCGTGGTGAGCAACTAGTAAAGTAAAAATTAAAGGTTTGCCACTTTAAGACGACGACATCCTGGATGCGATTCTTGACCCTTCAAAGCGCTACCTGCCTGCTTAAATTATGTACGATCGAATCAAGTGATTCCTGACCCACTTACTTACCTACTGAATTCGCTTTAAAATGTCAAAACAGACAAGTTTTCCTTTGTAGAGAATGCGTGATTGAACTAGTGCTTTTAATACCAAGTAAACCCTTTCATAACAAGTAAACTGTGTTAATATGGATAAAATATATATGAAATTTAACCTTTATTTTCAATGCGTTAGATCATGTTATAGGTATAAATTAGAATAGTAGTTTGAATTTCGAAATAACTTTTATAATCGTAAATGTAAAAAGAAACACTTTCGATTTCTTGACATCATAAAAAAAGTTGGTAAAGTAATAAGGGAATCCTTAGTCAATGGGAAAAGCTACAAATAATTTAATGTCAAAATTATGTCACGGGAAGGCGGCAAAATATGTCACGTCAAATATGATTGTTTAGAAATTACAAGTGTTTCCAAGGTTACGTACATTTAAGCCAAGATATACCTTATTGTTTTGAAATGGTTGTAACAAGCTTAAGGTGGATCAAAAATCAAAGTGGCTGATCGTACTTACCACTGTACTGTTTTTAGTTTCAAAGACTTTTTATAGAGCTATAAAGACAGGTTTATTTGAACTGTTTTAGTGACTTATGAATAAAATTAGAAAAGTTATAATGTAGGAATCTAATCTAACTCCACAACATTAGTTTTCAATATAATTGATCTTGGTATTTTGGAACAAAGTATGATAAAATCTTATCATCACTATATAATTAGAATTAATGATTACCTATGCCTATTGATAAGACCTTTGACAAAAGTGACCGCTGATATATTTTAACACAAGAGCATCTCATAAATTAATAAGATCTTATAAATAATATATATGTACTTCATTGTGTATATTTCCCAAGCTATTGTACCGTGTAGGTAAGAATGCATTACGTAGCCATTTACTTAGCTATGTTAACTATGCAAATCATTGAATACCCTAATTACCTTACTATTCCCGAATCTTATTTACTATACTGATATAAGTATATACCAACAAATGTTTTTTATGTAAATAGCCTTGCTGTCTCGGAAGACATTTGCGATACCTACCAGAAGTAATGTGTGACCAAGATCTTAAGGGGTGTGGCCGAAACCGGAACTAATAATAGGAAGGTATACATTATAAACAAGCCTTATAGTTAAAGAAGGTGTAATTAAGCCTTTTGTATTTCCTATTACTCGTTCCGAGTTATTGTAAATTATAACTTTCCCTTTAGTAAGTAGATTTCAAGTAATTTGTAATCTTCATTTTACCACTTATACACCAGCAGCGCCCTCCTATCAATGTCATCTAAGTACCACAAGACTTTGGACGCACTGTGTTGCTCGACGTTGCCATTTCTACTTGACACCATCCCCACAGATATAATTTAAAGTATCAAGTCATTTTGTCCCTAAACGGCGGTTTTACAGCAACAGAATTTTTAAAATTGCCGCTCTTTTGTAGGGTCACGATTCATTAGACAAACTAACTTACCATAGCAATGGCGCTATTCCATCCGAATACAGCAACAGGGAAGTTAAACGCTGTGATGATACCGATCAAACCAAGCGGGTTCCATTTCTCTATGAGGACGTGTCCTGGACGCTCGGACGGGAAGATCGTGCCAGGAAGCGTCCTGGACAGCCCGAGCGCCAGATCACACACGTGAATGTATTCTACAACTTCCCCTATTGCTTCGGGAAGGATCTTACCTGAGAACAGATTGTCCAATAAGTATGTAGTACTAGTAGGTACCCTATCCAGTCAGTCTGGCGTTATCATCTAATAAAAGTTTTTTTACTATTAAAATGAAAACCAAATAATATTTTTTACTAGTCCGCCCGCGACGTCGTTCGTGTTATCTTTAGTCTTTTAAATCCCTCAGGAACCTAACACTTTTCTGAGATAAAAAGTCTAGGTTATAAGCTGTCTGTGTGGAAAATTTCATCGAAAACCGTTCCGCCGTTGTTGCATGTTTGTGTAACAAACATAAAATCTTTCACATATATAATATTAGCTAGATTCTTATACAGTACTTAAAAAAATCAACTCATAAGGCCTTAACGTTTAATTAGGTAAACTAGGTACTAGTTTGAAAAAAAATTATTGGTCCTTCGAGCCAGATAAATATTAGGTCCTAAAGCCCATAGGCGCGTTATTATCGGTCGACGGTATCGGGTACGTTATTGCGACATTTCGTCATTCTTCTTTTGCGTCGTTACTATCGCAGCAGTGTGTAACTTCGTCGTTCTCATACATAATGTACAAATCAGATAACGCATCCGATATTATCGAGGGATTATTGCACCTATGGGGGTAGGCCAATATGCTTGGAGTTGCTAATCGATTTGATTGTAAATGGTATCATTAGTTCGTTATTCATACCCATCTCTAAAGAGACGAGCTGGCCTAGCGGCTGCAGCTTCTCTCGCAACGCGTCTCCTATCTGCCTGACGATCTCGCCCCGCGCCGGCGCTGGCATCTCCCCCCACAGGTGCCATGCTTCCTGGGCGGCTGCTACACTGTTCTCGTAGTCACTCGAACTAGCCGCTTGCACTTCAGCTATCACCTTCCCATTAGCGGGGCTGACCGACTGAATAACCTGGAGGGAGAAATGTGTTTAGGTGTGGTTGAGGCCAGCTTATAGTCCACTTGCACTAAAGTACCTAAATCAAATTTAAAAGCTAATCATCTCTTTTTGACTTTAAACAATTGAAATTAGGTAATTAGTTGAAGAAAGTGGAACTTTTCTTCCAGAGGTTTTTTCATGTTTAACGTCGCGTCGTAATTACAGCTGACGTTATGTATAAACAGTATTCACCTCATTTTGCCCTCATTGTCATTATTCCATTACTATTAATTACCTTCTTATGAGAAGTACCTATCTATGGAAATCAGTCAAAAAGTAGGTAGTATTAATCAGACAGATCGGGCAATATTACTTACTGCCTATTTGAATATAACAATGGGAAAATGTAAATAAATGACAGACAAGTTCAGCAGAGGTACCTTCGACTAGATTGGTGAGTTCTATAATTTAATACCCAAGTATAAGTTTACTTATAGATATTATTATACTCTTTATTGCATCATACAGTTAAAAACATATAGTCAAATACATAGTAAGCAAAGGTGGGCTTATCTCTAAAAGAGATCTCTTCCAGCCAACCTAGGTGGTGTCGGAGATTCAAAACTTAGCGGGAAACAGAAAGTGCAATAAAAAATAAACTAAAAATAATTTATTACTACTGTTATAGGAAATAGACTTAATAAATAATAGTTGTATATATATATATATATATATACACTATACACATTATACAATACATATACCTACATAAATAAACTTGCATAAATATACATAGATAAATACAATACCTATCTAAATATACATAACATACATATTAGCCTGATAAATAAATACTAATAAGAAACAAGATACTTCGTGAGAATGATTCATTAAGTTTGAGATTTCTGTTTGAGAAAATGATCTTTGACTTTAGACTTAAACGAGAAGATGGTCGGAGATTCCTGAATATTGGACGGAAGTTTATTCCACAGCTGTGCAGCCCTAAAAGAAAAGGAATTTAAATAGGAGATTGTATTACTTTTAGGAAGCTCAAGGGTCTTAGTAATGCAAGGTCGTCTAGAGCGTGAAGGAGGGGGAAGAAACTTAAATCGGGAACGCAGGTATACTGGGGAGTTAGGATCTTTGAGAATCTTAAATAAGAAGACAAGCATATGCAAATCTCGGCGAAGACGAATAGGGAGCCATTGAAGTAGAGATACATAAACAAAAGTAATTTTTATTAAGTAATTAAGTATATAATTGCTACTTACTTCACCGTTGGCTTCCCACTTTCCGTTGAAGACGCCGACATTCTTTTCTTTCAGCCCTAATTCTTTAAGGAAAGAATATTTTGGTTCCTGAATAAGAAAAGAGGATGCACTTCGAGCCATGATGAGTACTCGCGAGCGTTGCAGAACTAACAAATTCCGGCTCAGTATGCGACTCATTCGTATTAACTTCGCCTACTGTCGTTAATGAAGTACAGTCGGAGCTCGAGTCGACGAGTAAACACTTTTTATCTTGTTTGTGACAATTAAAGCAATGGCGTAGCCTTATCTGACCGATAAAATGTCGGTTGCTGGGTCAGGATCAGCTATTTGTTTAACAAATAACAATTGTGAATAATTGATCGCTATATCTGTCCTCTTTTTTTCATCTCTTTTCAATCGGATAACTTTGTTCATGTCAAAACTTTTCTGGACATATCCAGAAAATGAAAATCATCTTAATGAGGCAGTGTTGTTGGCATGGTGGTCAATCTCTTAGATACCAACTTAATAAATTACAAATAAATAGATAGCATGCCTTTCCTTGGCAAAAAAAAATAGAGGTCCTGCTAAATCTTTATGTACCCTCAACGTATAAGTACAACATGAGACAATTTTCAATTTCAATCAGTCATATCTTTTTAAACTTTTTGAATTTAAAATTGAAATTTTAACATAAATTTGAGTTAATGTTTCCTTTTCAGTATACTTTTACTGGTTTATACATGAGACACTGAAAATAAACGAAATATTATATTTTGTCTCATTATTTTGTAAATATGCCATATAATACGAGAAATATAAAATAAAACAAATTTTCAGCTTAAAGGGTTATCAAATAATTTAAAACGTTACCCTAAATTTTTAGAGACCCGTGCATCTATTTTAAGACTGTCTCAAATTATCCTAAAAAATAAAAAATGCTCGCTCCCATCTACGAGAATTATTAATTTTTATTTTGATAACTTTTAGGCGAAAGTGTAAACTATGACTTCAACATATTTATTCAGAAGTGTCTCACGCCGTTGATTTAATAAATTAGTGTATATCCATGTAGTTTTCTAAAAATAATAAGAGTTTTCAGGCATTTATTTTTCAGGAATAAAGGACATTGGGCAAAAATGTATGGGCGCCACGTTCGCCACGGCTTTATTATAAAATACTATAGTCTAATAAAAATATTTTATAGTCGTGATCATCTGTGCCAAAGCGCATCAAATTCCATCCCGGGGATCTTTAGTTATTTTAAGTTAAATAGATACAAGTACTATAACGAACGCACGTTAATGAAACAAGGGAATTAACTTAGTTAAATCGACCCTACATAGGGGCACGGTAATATTATCTATAGATAATAGGTAAGTGATAGGGGACTCAGGTATTATGGGAGTACTTCACAAGGTGCGAGGGTGCCCCCTTATGTTATTCTGTCGCGCTAGATTAAATACAAAAATACGCGCGTGGGTGAGGGTTTTTTCAAACATTCTGTTCGTTATAGTAAATTGTCTTCTATATAAAACTTGTCCATGCTTCGGAGAAAACATGATTCCATTTCATCCATACTAATTGACAAAACGATAATCGTATTCCAATGTCCAAAGCGTGTTAGATAAAAGTCAATCAAGTGACAGGGAGCGCAAATCACAACGAAGTAAGACGAGTCGATTACTTGCAACCACAAGTCCTTCAACCCCCGTTTTGAGGTGTCTCAGTAAGTGCAAGCGCAGGATGGTCGGCAGGCTTTGTCTTATATCTGGTTGCATAGTACGATATGGCATATTATTACGGTTACTAATAATATAAAATGAAGGAACTATAAAATGAATTTATTTAGCTCTTTTGACTACCAGAATATTTTTTACGGTGTCATAAATATCTTTTGAGGATATTTTTTACGGTGTCATAATAAAAAAGATTAGTTTACATAGATCTATCGATTCATACTAATTACATTGTTGGCTGCGAGTGTTTTGCCCATTTTCTTTTGAGTTAGTGTGAAATAAATATGAAATTCGCAGTAAATACTGCAAAGTTTGTCTAAATTTCTTATACGCCAAATACTTACACGTCAGCAAACATTCATTTTGAAAGGGAAATTTTACTGTTGACAAAATACAAATTATGAATTGCAATAATAAAGCCCACGGAATTTTTATCTCTAAATTACATCCAGTAGGCCTATTCGCCAACTGCTTTTGACAGATGGAAGTGATAGTCACCGAGCTATTTAGTAATCCAATACTGCTGTATTATAACGCCACTAAGATACTTGTACTGAAAAACATCACTGGATATGCAATTCTCTCTTTAGTGACACACTGGTGTCGATTTTGGCGTGATTCTCAACACAACAAAGTTATTTGTACCCAGCAGGAAGAAGAAGAAGAAGGAGGAGAAGAAGAAGAACAAGACAGTATGGATTATGTTCCATTAGAAGAGGATCAATCAGGCGAATAATTTTCTCAAATTACTCATTACTTACACCGCTCTTGTCATTATAATAGTACCATTTTCAATTCAATACAATAGCTTTTAACTCAACAGAACTACAATAGATCGTGGAATAGGCCTACCGGGGAAACCACGTGAAAATAAAACGCGCCATGTTCACTACCTCACGGGTGGCGCGGAAACGTGTGCATATTATGAGTAACACAACTTTTTCAACGTTTTACATCGCTATATCTCCGAAATGGTGATTCTTAGGAAAAAAAGTCTATGAACAATTTTTATAGATAATTGCATGATGAATAATTTTTGTCTCACCTACTTTTATAATAAAACTTACCGTTTAGCTGGAAAACTCAAAAAACCGATTTTTGCAACATTTGACCTTGAATATTTTTTTTTCCACACGTTGGATAATTGACAAATTGTGTGTAATAGGGTCCCCAACATCCATGCCAATTTTCAGCTAGGTGCGAATGAATGTAACCTTACCCCAATTTTTGAAGCTAATTTGACCGGACTATCAGTTGTTTATGCGTCATAGAGAATGTAATATGCTGCTGGGTTGCCCGCGGCGCTGCTGCGACGTAACAACGTTGCGGCACCGCACAGCTCGTGTGCCCACCGATGCGGCGAAATCTTTGCTGTGCGGCGCCGCAACGCATCGTGTGCTCGCGCACTTAATGTCAAAAAAGTTAGCGAATAGGCCGGCAAGTCTCATGATATATGAGTTCAAGGTACCTATAAGAAACCTACGTTTTCCACTGTGGCCTCTCGGAGGACACGCACATTTTTTAAATGACACTGGTTTCTACTATTGAGGAGCAGAATAAACCTATTATAATAATGGTAATGTTATCTATCCATTTATCGTGGATTATGCAAAGTATATCCTTTGCAGCTTTCGTTATTCCATTCCTTAACCCAGGCCTATTCAAGTATGGAAGAACGTTAAACGAAACTTTATTGATAAGGTAGCGTCGCCGAAGAAGGCCCGGCTCCTTGGATAGCCCACTTAAAAAGAATACAGTTATGATTATTCGAAACATTTGAAACTTTGCAGATTTATGCTACTAGTACCATAGAAAATAGTGCAAGCGTGTTTCATTACCGACGCATCGCCATTTTGAATATAGATGACAGTTTGCTTGGTCATGTCGATGATGAAGATGATTACCTAAATAACTTAATTACAAAATTCTGAGATAGGTAAAAGGAATTATTGGATATGGAGGATAGCCGAGGTGCTAAAATTCGCTTCTAATATAAATCCGAGCCTGGGGTGAAACATTTGGAATTTTGGTTGACAGAATAAAAAAGAGATATGCATACTAGTATTATATTTACCAACCTACTTTATTACGTACATATTTACAAATTGCATTTATTATTAATAATAATTTTGTAAAAAACATCACATAATGGCGCAAAAGCTATTGACAGTATCCTCATCCTTTCCCTCTTTCATTTCCTTTGCTTTCATTTCAAGGTATGTATTCTCATATCGTTTACTCATCCACTCTGGTAAAGGTTTGTCCCAGTCTGTTGGTGGTGATTTACGTTTTTTCCATGTATCATTTCTAAAGTGTGCTTGCAGTCTTTCCATTCGCCGTTTCTTTTCACTTTCTATTAGTGATTTCTGAAATATTTAATGGTATTATAAAAAAGAAAATTTACATCACTAATTATTAATGCAGTCTATTGAAATATGAATATAAAAAGGTCAAGTAAATATCGAATTCCAATATATCAAACATGCCTAAAAATATTATCGGTATAACATCGCCATACCATTTGGTTACTGGTTGACTGGTAAAGATTGCCTATATGATATGCATATGTATGGCAATAAAGTTTAAATAAATAAATATTGCTAGTTTCAATATTTGTATAGCTATGTAACAAGAAGCGATGCAAAGGTTTTTGTGATATCGATATAGGTATATCAACAATTATTATATTCAAGTTGATGTTCTGTGACGGTGAAGTTCAGACGCAAAGATAGCCTCTATCCAAAGCATCGAGTAAGTACTTGGCGAAGCCATTCCATTCCATCTGGAATGTGTGGACTTGCACTCATGCCACTCCATGTTCAGGACTATGAATTTGCGTGAGGCTGTTTTTATTACGCTTTCGATGTAGTTCTTTGGATTTAAGTCACAGCGAATCGAGCATAGTGATAATGCTATTAAGCGCCAGTGTTTAGCTCTGAAGAGAATGAAAGGGAAGGAAAAAAGACGTGTTTGCTATGAACGCGCAGACCCGTTTAAGGTCTTGGTAGATACCATGAGGTCATTCGGAAATGTGGTCTAAAACTTAATGGAGCTTAATGATAAAATTCTCCCGTTTCTCCTTGGTGTTGACCCATCCAGCCGTTACGTATCTGAAATATCCCGCATGACCTATACTATCGTCTGCACAGCAATGAATTTTCCCAAGAGGGATTATATCATTGATATTATAAAAAAAAAGTAGCAAATACGCCGGAACCATGAAGTACCGGCCGGCATTCAATGAACTGCGAACTGCTTCTAACCATAAGGATCCAAATTCTACGTTCATGCAGGAAATCAGCTACTGAGGAACAGAACTGAGCAGGCCGGAATGCCGGAAGCTTGAAGAGAAGGGTTTTCTGCCAGGCTCTATGGAAAGTCTTAATGTCAAGGCTGATTGATAGCCAACGAATCACCCTGTTCTTCAATAGCCTTACCCCGGATATGATCATGTGAGTAATGTACACTTAATAAGAAGATCACCCTTCGATCGTTACGTTCAAAGCCGTATGACGATCAGATAATCAGAGAGTTATCCTCTATGTACTGGGTCGTTTTTACATATTATAGTAGACCAAGAGCTACTGAACCCTCCGAGTAACGGTCTGTCTGTAAGGCTAGAAATTCTTATGGTGATAAGTCTTAGTATGCTTAGTACGGTAAGCATCGCCTGGCACTCCTCACCCCTGCACGTCATCAAGCCGTATATTTTTGAAAGTGTCAAAAATATACTAAAAAAAACTTGTAGCTGTAAGCTTGAAATTTTTATACAATTTAGTTTATTCATTTTTAAGTTAAAAAAAAATGCTAGTCGTTTACGATGAGCACAAGTACCTGCCAGGCGAACCGGAAGGAGTGTAATATATACATAAAAATAAATTTTATTCTGTAAAGTTGAAATTTATATTATGTGTTTATTTGAGCGATTTAAAGTATGTAGGTAGAATGCCAGGCGGTTCTGGCTAGCACAAGTCTTTGCCAGGCGAGGGGAAATATGCTGCGGCAGTGCGAGTAAGTCGTAGTGTGAAAACTTACATAACTTAAAACTGTTCATAATTTGAAATTAATTAGCGTTAATTAATATATATTTAGTAGTGTGCATGTTTCTGTGAAGTAACCTATTTGAAAAAATGAAACTCAATACTTAGATGAAACTTATGCTATATGTTTTGTTCTGGCAATATTTTTTCATTACAGCAAGACAGTTTTTGTAACACTTCACATGATAACCTGTATTATCATGAAGTTCCTTTGGCAAAGAAATGTCATTAAATTTTAAATTATGTTGTTTTCTAATTTTTAATATTGTTTTTTTTTTTATTTGCTTTTGTCTAAAGTAGGTACTTGTTGTAAATTTTACAGTTTTGTCATCAATATCTTGTTTGCAAATCACACAAACAAAGTTTGCAGATTCCATTTTACTCACTATTTACATAAATACGAATAATCGTTGGCACATCTTCCGGTTCGCCTGTTCGCCGTACTTGTGCTCATCGTAAACGCCTGGCAATTTTTTTTAAACTTAAAAATGAATAAAATAAATTGTATAAAAATTTCAAGCTTACAGCTACAAGTTTTTTTTAATATATTTTTGACACTTTCAAAAATATACGGCTTAATGACGTGCAGGGCTGAGGAGTGCCAGGCGATGCTTACCGTACTAAGCATGCTATGAATCATCACCATGTGAATTTCTAGCCTTACAGACAGACCGTTACTCGGAGGGTTCAGTAGCTCTCCTACTATAGGGGGCATACGAGCTGACGTATGGCAGGTGAGGCTGTTGGTAAGTGATCACCGCCGCCCATTTATAGACACCTATCCCAGGATTATCACAAATGCAATACCGACCTTTCAGGAAGGAGTACGCTCTTTTTTTGCAGGTTTTCAGGTCGTATTGGACCGGAAACACTGCTGGTGACATTGTTTTGCACAGTTTTTTCGTACGTGGTAAAAAAATCGACATAATAGCAAGATTATAGATAGCCACGCAAGATGGTGGGGATGAATTTTTTGTCCCAATTTTCGATAGCGACAAAAGCAGCAGCTAGTATTTATGTTATATGGCCCTCCTCCTTGTGTCGTGCTCCTCATTGCTGAGGGTCGTGACCTCCACGAATTATTTTGTGGACGATCGCTTTCCACTTGTTTCGGTCTTCGGCAGTGTGGAGTGCAACGCGGACTCCAGTTTTGGTATTGTCACGGATCTGGTCTGTCCCGCGCATGGGGCTTCTTCCTCTCGGTCGCCTTCCCTGTATTTTTCCTGTCACCAGGAGCAATTCAAGGGTATCGCTTTTCTTCCTTGCTATGTGACCGAAAAATTCGAGGATCCTACGCAAACAGAATGTAGACAGCCTACGGGGACTCCCACTTCTTTAGGAATTGACGCATTTGTGCGGTGGGTTGTCTACGGAACTCGTAACATTAACTCCTCCAATACCACATCTCAAATGCATCAATACGAGATCTGTCTGCCTTCTTGAGGGTCCATGTTTCCGCATCGTAGGTGAATATGGAGAGCACCAGAGCTCACACCAGGCCAATCTTGGTATTTTGTGAGATCGATCTATTTGTCCAGATCCTGCCTAGCCGGGTCATCGCGCTTTTTGCCATACCCATCCGCTTCCGAACATTTGGTTCGCATGAGCCATCTCTACATATGGTAGAGCCAAGGTACACAAAGCTGTCCAAATATTGGAGATCGAGTCTCCCACTGAGCTCCAGTTGTTTTGTTCGGTGTTTCGATTTGTTGATCGACAGGCCAAGTTCTCCTTTCGCTCGTTCCAATCGTTTCAGCAGTTTTTCCATCTCAGCTTCATCAGTTGCAACGAGTGTGGGTATCGTCAGCGTAGCGTAAGTTGGTAATTTTGACTCCACCGATGGAAACTCCGCCTTCCCAGTCTTCGAGGGTACGTCGCATGATATATTTCCCATAAGCGTTGAAGAGGATGGGAGACAAGATACATCCCTGTCTCACTCCTTTACCAAATTTAAACGGTTTTGAAAGCGTTTGGTTCACCCTCACCACTCCACGGTTATTGGTATATAGTGATCGAAGAAGCGAGACAAGATGTTGAGGCACGCCGAGGTCAGATATCACGTTCTGCTCTAGTTCTCTCTGCATAGGCTGTTTCAATTATCGCAGTCGAATGCCTTTGTTATAGACGATAAAGCACAGGAGCAAGGGGGTGTTAAATTCGTAGGATTTCTCAATGAGTTGTCTGACGTTTAGGATTTGTTCTCTTGTGCCCTTTTTCTTTACGAAGCCAGCTTGTATGGGTGGGATTTGCCAATCCAAATAATGAGGGATCCTGTTGTTTAAGATGTGCAGGAGAACTTTGCTTCCGTGAGATATAAGGGCCAGAGCCCGGTAGTCGCCAAATATCCTGGTCGATCTTATATGGTATAGTCTTCTATCTTATATGGTATTTGGTATTAAAAATTCCTCAGAACACTCACCGTGACAAATGCGATAGAAGATGCAGAGCGAAGCTACATCTCTTCGAAAAGCCCAAGGATCAAGTTTATCGGAAAGTTCTGGTCGTCGACAATTCGATCCGCTCGGCGCTGGATGCGATCCAGAGGGAGAAGCTGGTACTTCTGTGCCGTCGCCCAAAGATGAGAACAGTACTCCATGTGAGGCTGAACCTATTCTGTATAAAGTTGTAATTGGTGGTGTGAAGTACCCTCTTGATCTATTGAGCACACTAAGCTTCTAGGAGGCTAATTTGGCCTTGCCCTCCTTGGCCTTGAGATGAACTCTGAAGTGGATTAGTCAACGCCAAGAATACCGATACTAGCTAAAACAGTATGGGAGTCTTCTCAAAAAGGGGGGATACGACAAAAGCTTTTTAAGGACCTTTTCTAGAGTTTAAACAAGACTGAAGTGACTGCTATTGGCCGATAGTTGGCTGGGTCTAACCTTTCCACTTTTTGGGTACTGTTTGCATATTATCATTCCTCCAAATCTCCAGATCACATTCCAAATAGTATGTGAGCACGGAAGACAACTCTGCTACACCTTTTTTGAGCACAACTGCTGGGATGCCATCGGCTTCACTAGCTTTCCGGACGTCGATTGATAGCAATTCCGTACATATCTCATACTGCTAGCAGAGGTTATGCTGGTGGCAGTGTATTGCATTGCAATAATTGATTCAGTTGTTAGCCGCAAAGAATTTTGCCAGTAAATCAGCTTTATGAGTTAGTGATTTGTCTGGACATCTCAAGAGGTGGCAGCAAGGGCTGGCAGAAGTTGTTCTGCTCGGCCTTGGCTAAACGCGAATTAATACAGGAGGTTTTTTAATATTTATCTTTTTATTTGAGTTCAAATTACCTACCGAGTAGGTTAGATGTGCGCGTTGCA